ACTCCCTTCAAATAAGTTTTAACACAACCTTGTCAGCCAAAATACATTTTGATAATTTAACTGCATGTTTCTACCATATGACTGAAACAGAGAACTGAATCATGCAACGACTTTTGTTGCAACAAAATTAATAAATAAGGCTAGATTCTCTATGGCACATACGTGAAGAACACACACACACACACACACACACTAATAGCATTAAAATTGATAAGCTATGACACACACACAAATTGTCTCTGATTATTTTCACACAATTAGGTTATCCTATCAAGCACTAAGGAGAAGGCCTTTCAAACAGCTTCCAAGAGTGTGAATAATGGAAAACTTCACAAGTAAGTACTGTATCGATTGCTGATTACTACTGGCTGGCTATATAAACGATTTATAATATGAACAAAAACTGGCAGCACGGTGGTGCAGTTGGGTCGTCAGCTTGAATCCCATCCGAGGAGCCATTCTGGGTGGAGTTTGCATGTTCTCTCCGTGCATGCGTGGGGTTTTCTCCTGGTACTCCGGTTTCCTCCCACATACCAAAAACATGCATGTTAGGCTGACTGGTAACTCTAAATTGTCTCTAGGTGTGAGCGACAGAGTGAATAGTTGTTTGTCTCCGTGTGTCCCTGTGATTGACTGGAGACCTGTCCAGGGTGTCCCCCACCACTTGCACAGTGATAGTTGGATATGGGTACCAGTGACCCCCATGGCCCGAAAAGGAAGAAGCAGGTAAAAGATAATGGATGAATGGATGGAAGAACAAAAACTATTTCCTAGCACCTTTTCAAACAGACTGCTACTGTCTGACCAGCTGCTGCAGGAACTCTTTCCTGTCACCTCGGATTGCAATCAATGTTTCTTCTGTTTTATGCACGTTTAAATCACATTTGTAACAAGAGTTTTTCCTCTTGTAGTTGTCAATCAATTTGTTTACACTGTCTTGATTATCATTTCTGACTTGTATTGTACTGTTGCTGCAAAAGAAAATTTCCATGATGGGATTATTAAAAGTATGTCTGTCTACCTGTCAAATCTGACATCACCTGAAACGCTTCCCTTTTATATTCATGTTTCTAACTGCTTCATTCATGTATATTCACATAAATGAAGCAGAAAGCAGAATATTATATTAGTTAAGCTAATCTAGTTGTAAATCAGAAGGAAAAAAATCTGGACTTTTACCTTGGTTATCTTTGTACAGATTTTCACCCTCAAAATGACTGATCACAAAGTCAT